ACACATAAAACGTGGAAATAAAAGCGTAAAATAAAATGCACACCGATTTTATACTGGTTCGGAATCCAGTAAGTCTCGGTCACTTGAACTCCGAATCCACTAAGTCTCAGTCTCTTGAACTCCGTCAAAGCACCGCACTAGTTTGGCAAACAACCCTTTCCAATAGGATTCACTCCGAGATTTCACAATAGCTATCTCAAACCGTTTACATTAATGAAGATTTAACGGCTATCTTCTACCGTTCCCCCAAGGATTTTCAAGGCTATCCTTGAACCTTTACCCAAGGATTTATACGGTTATCCTCGACCGTTACAATGTGAGAATTTAACGACTATTCTTGACCGTAGGAAAGTGTGTTTGAAGAACACAAACAAGGATTCTACACAACGGCTAGAATATAATAATGAAGAACAAAACTTAGCCGGTGTAGAAGGAAATTATACTCTCTCAAAAATACAATATAAACTTATGAATTTGAGAGTATATAACTAGAAACACAAGCTCAAAGTGTGTATAAAAATCAGGAATTTAAGGCTCTTGAAATAGCCAAAATATTGAAAATAATTAATGAAAGAATGAACACACTTAGAATATAAAGGGAGGATGTTTGGAGCTTTGTTTCATTTAGAAATATGAAGGATTAGGCTTGTATTTATAGTGGAAGATGTTAATTAGCCGTTGGGAGGTGATTAGGGTTGATTTAATTCAAAATCACAAATCAGGAACAGTAACCCAATGGTCACGGTAGGCCGATACCGTCCTCACAGTAGCATGGTACCGTTCGTACGGTAGGGGGTACCGTGAGTGGCGGTACCTCGGTACCGTGTGCCACTAAAAATCCATTCGGCTCTGGTGGTACCTGGTGTCTAATGGTACTGGGGTACCGTGTGGGCGGTATACCCTACCATGTAGGCAGTATAGGGTACTGCTTGGGGTACCGTGGATTTGTTCTGATTTTTCCGAAAATCCCTTAATCCTTCGTGTTTGAGTCTAAAACCTTTTAGATATTTGAAAATATTTATGGGATGGTTTTAAACATATTTTGTGAGTGCTTTTGAGCTTGTGAATATAGGTATATAAAGTCATATCCTTACATTGGTTTCTACCTATATTCTACGCTAGTTTAGTGTTTCGACTTCATTCTTGAGTACCGAATCTTAATGGATTCTTGTTGTACCTGAAACACTTAAACAAACGTTTAGCTCTTATATTGTTTGTTAAAATCAAAACACGAGGCTTAGCAAACTAAGGATAACATCTTCTTCTCTCGAAACAAGATTGCTCATAACATTACGACCAGCGTGTCATTATCATGAAGATATCTTGATATACTTCCAAATTGATGAAAGAAAAGTCAACAAATATGAGACGCCCCTTGAACGTCATCACCTATAAATATGAATTGATACAGAGACTCATTGATGGTAATGAGAACTATCATGTAGGTGAACAAAAAAAATAGTTCGACGTAAGATCGATAATGAAAAACTAATCTACAACCAACCGACAGTACTTCCTCACAAATGGTAACAGATCCCACATCCTTAAAATCCTGAACCACTAAAAGCCATTTGATGTTACTAACGATTCATTACTGAACTATTTGAATGATGTGAAGATGTCTTGAGTAACTTGGAAGTTTACGCTATAACGATGTTATATACTACAAAAGAACCTTAGTTGTTGATTCTAATGAAAAACTGTAAAAGGATCATTGAATACTTTGCTTAATCAAAGACTGTTAATCTCTCAAAGCTAGAACAAGTTTGATGACATCAACGATTTGAGAATACGTATTTGTGGGGATAGCGACGTAATCGTGATTTAACTGAATGAACATAACGTGGTCATGACTAACATGAATACAAATAAGATGTTGATCATTCAGTTTGAGAACAATTTCGAGGACGAAATTCCTTTAAGTGGGTGGACGAAATGTAACGCCCCAAAACACACCCTAAAATTTATATTGAATTTTTATTCAATTAAACAAATTTATTTTGATTAAAATAAATTATTGTTAGGCTTTGAGCCAAAATAAAATATGTTTTGATATCCAATATCAAAAATTGGATAAATCTCGTGGATATAAATCCAAAATAAACCTGTATGTGTGATCTTGATTGAGAACCATAGTATAGACCCAAATTTAAAGTAAATAAAGAATTTGATTCGTGATGTGAACTTTTGAGATGATTTATTGAAATAAATCACGAGAATAAATAATATGAATTAAATATGCGAATCGTTTGAATAAAAGATTAATGAAATCGATTTTGACTTTGTCAAGTCAAACACCCAAAAATATGATGTCGGAAAAAGTATTATAAATATATATAAAAATTTATTGTTGGATAGAGTTTGACTGTCTGATCGCAATGATGCAAACGAAATTTAATTCGTAGAAAGTTGAACCAGAAAATTGTACCCCGGAAGGGTGTGGCGTGTAAAATCCTAGGAATCTCCGTCCTGCGCACTACGCTGATCACCAAATGCAGAATTAGAATCCTGAGTCAGCCATGTCTTCTTCTTCACCTCATTTCCTATATAAAGAGAATTAACTCTCTCCAGTCTTCACCAATTCCTTCAATTCTTTCTATTAGAATATAAATAACTGTTCCTGGGCCACAACCACAAGCTTGTACTTTTGGTTGAGTTAGTTGGTTCCTTGATATCATTCATGGGCCACAACCACAAGCTTGAGCTTTTGGTTAAGTTGGTTCCTTGACATGGTATCAGAGCCTCGTTGACTAAGAGGTCACGGGTTCGAAACTCAGCACCACCCAGTTTAAAAAAATTATTAAGGTTTCACCTGCAAGGCTCGAAAAAGACTACGCCTGCACATGAGGGGGTGTGTTAGAACATAAATAATTGTTCCTGAGCCACAATCACAAGCTTGAGCTTTTGGTTGAGTTGGTTCCTTGACACTTTCTTCTATTATGTTTCCATGTGTGTGGAGAACGCAGTGGTGTTGTTCATATAGTGAGAGGTCGCCGGAGCTGGCCACAATCTTTGCAGAAGTTTCACCAGAAAACTTCCAAAACTTTTGTTTAAATTTGAGGTAATCTCTTAGATATATCTAGTGATTAGATTGTTCGTATTGATCGTTTCTGCATTCCTAAATGGTCGTTTGGTTGAATTTTGTGTTTGACATGCTTGAAGAACCAAGAATCACAAACCTTGATATTGTAGTTAAAACTTTGAATTAATGATACCAAAATGATCTATAAACTTTGGAAAACATTTCTATATAGTTTAATTGGAGTTTGATGACTAAAAATGAAGTTTTCAAAAATTGGCCCGAGGTTGAAGATGACAATGTTTAAACTACGCGTACAAACGATATCGAACTACCGCCAGGACGTTACCTAAGTACCACCGGCACAGTATGTTGTACCGTCAAAACGGTATACCAGCTACCGTCTTAACATGTTTTCCTCTGGCAATAACTGACACCGGGTACTGTGTACTGGTATCGAGGTACCGCCTGGTGTCAGTTACCGCCTGGTACGAACATTCTTATCGCGGTACCTCGTAATAACGATGTATTCATCATTAAATCATAAGTCAATGGTACAAATCATGTTAAGGGGTACAAATTATGATTTAATGATGAATACATCGTAATGAAATGATGGTGAAAATGATTTTTATTAAATATTGATTATGATTATAAAAATCATGCCTCAAGTGATTATGATCATATAATGACGATGATCTTATCCTGACAAAATATCAAAATATTGTTTTGAATGAATAAGCCTTAAGAATAATTGTGATTGAATATGTTTGTATGAATATCAGATTAAAAGATGATTGTGAATGAATAAGGGTGTCTAGAAGAACTCTAAGATATACTCATGTGACCAATTTAGTTAGGCCTTGCCGGTATGGTGCTTGGTGGCCAGTTTTAAAATGTACGTCCGGGATCCACAAACCAAACTTGAGTACTTACTCATTTGGGAGTATCACCCAACCCGACGCTTACTAGTCCGATGTTTGGTTTTCTGGATGATCCATAAGACTCGTATGATGGATCATCGATTCTTGTGTTCTGCCTTAAACTAATGTATAGTTTAAGAACCCGGATGGAAATATTTTCTTAGACTAATTATAGTTTAAGAGCTCAGATATCAATATGAATTTAGCCTTAGATTAAGAATAATTTAATAGCACAGTTGAAATAATGAATATTGAATATTTGAATTGAACAACATGTGTTGATATTAAATGATCTGATATGAACTAAACATTATCAATATCATGAATATTTAATATTTGAATTGAATATTATGTGCATGATATCAAATGATTTGATTATGAATTTAGATTCAATTTATGTGGATGTTCTAGGCATTAGATATCTTTACTCAGCTTCACCGCTGAGCATGTAGTATGTTTTATCTATTACACGCAGGTAAATAGAAAGAATGATGTGACATGATCTTGGCTGCAGACGGAGGCGAGATTGTCGGGATGGATGTGATGGTTTTAAATTGTGTTTTGTGATTGTGATTTGTTAAGCTTCTGCCAAATTAAAAACTCCTTACTGTTTCTGTTATGAATAATATTATTGTGTTCATAAAAGTGTTTGAAATGTTTTAAATTTTACGGTTACCAAGTTTATACTTTAGTCCGAAAGGGACGGCAAACCTAGACGAATTATTAGGAATAACAGATGTATTAGAAATTAGAATATTATTATTTATTGCCTTCCTTATTTTATTACTCCGTATTTCGTAATTTTATTCTTATCATAGTTTTTCTTCTACTATAATTAGAACTCTCTCTTGTAATCCCTATATATTGGGATGTATCCCTCATTATTTAACAAAACCAATGATTATCAAATTGTATCATGGTATCAGAGCTAATGTTCTCAAACACCCAACCCCTCTTTTTTCGACCTAGCACATCGCCGATCTCTATTCACGGTGGTCAACCATCCGACAGCATGGCTCCACCGACGAATCTCAACGAGCGTGCCTAACAACCGCCGTCCAATATCCCTCTCTTTCTTTCCAAAAAAACCTATAATCTCTCTCTTCTAAAAAAAATATGTGCATGATTAAAGAACGGGAAAGTTGCATTTGTCTTTGTTTTTTCTAGAGATCAAGAGCATGAAAACCGATAGAGAAGTAGAGAACGGTCCAAAAGGAGAAAAAAGAAACTCCTCGTCCTCGCTTCAATCGCCAACACTCGCAGCAGAAAAACTCAACAAACGTAACCCCAAGCTCATTCGTCCTGCAACAAAAAAAAATCTCGCTCTCTACTTCTAGAGGCTATCCTCACAAAACTGTTTCCTCTGGCCAGTACCTGTCTCTAAACTGCTCTTCGTTAGCGATGATCAGCTCGCGGGAGATATTAGGAATAATAGATGTATTAGGAATTAGATCATTATTATTTATTACCTTCCTTATTTTATTATTTCTTAATTTTATTGTTACCATAGTTCTTTTCGTACTATAATTAGAATTCTGTCTTGTAATTCCTATATATAGAGTTGTATCCCTCATTATTCAACAAGACCAATTATTATAAAATTGTATCATGAACTCTGAAGGCGGACATGGCTCGGTGGAGAGAGGGAGCTCACTGATGGATCTGGGCTTACTTTTCCCATCCTTTATTTCTTCTGCGATACGCTCTTTCTTTTTTCTCCTTTTTTTGAATTTTCATGGCTAATCCCAGGATGGATCCACTCTCCCACTTTTTTTACTCTAGTACTCCGCTCTCCTTTTTTTCACATCCTCTCCACTCCTTTGTTTTTTCTATCTTTTTTTAGGGACTCGAAGAATGTAAAAATTTTTTAATCAAAGTTCCACAAATGGCGTCATTGATGGAAACTGCATTTTTGGGGCATCGATCCAACGAATTCGGCATCCGGTCGGCAGCTCACCGAAGAGCGAAATCCAGTAAGTAAATAAATAAATAAAATGGAGAGAAATTATTTTTACGTAGAAAACCAAATTGAGAGAAACTCACGACCTTTTTATGCGGCACCATGCTAAGGGGAGAACCTTTTACTAATCTGGAGAAGTTTACATGTACATGAGTTTAGGAGCTTGAAGCTGTTAATGAAGCTTCATAGTGTAACGCCACAAAAATAGACCTATCAGAATTAATTAATTGATGATTAATTAATTATTGAGAAGGACCCAAAAATAAGTAAATTATAAAGTTTGTCAATAAATAATGAAAATTTTATCATTGTGTAGAGTTTGACTTTCAGACCCCAACGGTTTAAATGGAGTTCCATTCGAAGAAAGTTGCACCAAAAAGTGTACTCCGACTAGGACTAAAAGTTAGTCCCAATCAGGGACTACACACCAAACGCGCGCCCGATTCCAAATCACCGCACAATCACAGAAGGAGCAAAGCCGTTGTCTTCTTTCTCCTTCACTTGGCTATATAAGGAGAGCCTACTTCTTCAATTCTTCACCAAAACAATTCATTTCTCCTTCTATCTTGTTCCTTGCTGAGAGTAGAGTGCAGTGGTGCTGTCATTCTTGTGTGAGGTCGCCGGAGCAGAGAGCTATCGTCGCCAGAAGTTTCACAAGAAAATTTCCAAAACCTCTGTTAAGCTTGGAGGTAAGTCTGTAGATATATCTAATGACTAAAATGTTCATAGGTCGTTTTTACGTTCATAAATAGTCATTTGGTTGAGTTTTTTGTTTGACATCCTTGAAGACCTAAGAATCATAAACCTTGAATTTGATGTTAAAATCATGAATTAATGATACCAAAATTATGTATGAACCTTGGAGAACATTTCTACATAGTTTAATTGAAGTTTGGTAACTAAAAATGGAATTTTCGAAATTGGACCCGAGAGGTAGAAGACGATGAACAGTGATCAAAAACTAGCAGGGGTGGATCGATCCTGTGGAGTAGTTTTTCTACAAAGAATCGATCCAGACTGCTGGATCGATCCCCCAACCTGAATGCTTCGAAAATACTTCTAAAAATGTTATTTTTGATACCAATTAATTATGAAAAATATAAAGATGATTTTTCATGATAAAAATGATGTTTTTGGAAAATAAAAACCTTATGTAATGCATGCCGGTAAGTTCGGGTGTTAACACTCGAAACTAGTCCACTATTTGATATTGAATGTTATGTTGATTGATCATTATGATGAATAATTATTATAGATGATTATGAATGATGAACCTACTGATTAAAATGATCATTGATGATTTAATCATGACTAAAAATGAATACTCCCTCCGTCCAATATTAAACTTTACGGTTTGAGTTGGTGCGCAAATTTATGTGGAATGAAAATTGGTTTGACTTTCCTATTATACCCTCAAGTTTTTAGCTCTCTCCCCCACTGACATCTAGCACCCCACCTCCGGCGGTGCTTCTGCAGCCCCTCACCTTCGATAGCCCCTGATGCCGCTGTCCCCTCGCCGCCGAAAGCCCCTACCGCCGCTGCCCCCTCGCCTTCGATAGCCCCTGCCGCCGCTACCCCCTCGCCGTCGAAAGGCCCCACCGCCGGCGATTCTTTACCACCGCTGTCGCCGACTCTCTGGCACCATCGGATGACTTCTCTGGTTCTTCTTGTCGCCATCCCTTCCGTAACCCTTCCTTAGTAGATCTAATCTTTTCCATCCGAGATTTTGACGTCTTGAGGCAAGGCTAAGAGTAACAGAAGCTTTGTAGATCTATGAAATCGATGGCGGGAGGACCGGAGGAGCAGATCTGACCGCCGCGCACTCCCGACCACCGCCTCTCTCTGCTCGCTGCTCCCAATCATTGGGTGACGGGACAAAGTCAAAACAGGGAGGAAAAGGCATTAAAGAAGAAGAGAGAAGAAGAAGAAAGGAAAAGAATGAAGAAGAGAATAAAAGAAAGAAAGGAGAAGAGAGAAAAAAACGGTGTGGCCTGTGGGCGAATTCAGAAGGGAGAGGAAAAAGAAAAAAAAGAAAGAGAAGAAGGAATGGGTGAGATGTGGCGAGGAAGAAAGAAAAAAAGAAAATAAAGAGTAGAGGGTGGGGGTAATTATGTCTTCTTGCTTGAAAAAGGTTTCCAAAAAAAGAAATGTAAAGTTTAATTGTGGACGGACGAAAAAGGAAAGTGTAAAGTTTAATTGTGGACGGAGGAAGTATATTGGTAATCACAAAGATAATGTATTGTTAAGGGTATTTAGAACAACTCTAAGATATACCTATAGTGATGTTGATTTTGAAGGGTATCTAGAAGAACTCTAAGATATACCTATTTAAGTTAGACCTTGCGGGTAACCCCAGTGGCCAGGTTTAAAACGTACGTACGGGATCCAAGAATCAAACTTGAGTATCTACTTATTTAGGGGTACCACCCAACCCAACAATAAACACTACGTTGTCGGTTTCTGTTTGACCTTAAGCGAAGGTAAGTTTAAGATTTGAAAACCTTTTTAAAATATATGCATCTTAAACTAGGCCTAGCTTAAGGGTTAGTTAAGAATAACTTAAACTAGAACTAGTTTAAGAATTGAATTGGCCTTAGACTAAGAATAGTTTAAGGATATTGTTGAATACGAATGTTGAATATTGAATATGAATGTTGAATATTGAATATGAATGTTGAATATCGAATGATGAATGTTGAATAATGAATCTTTGAACTGAAAATTATGTGCATGATATCAAAAGATTCGATTATGAATTGAGATTCAATTTATATGGATGTTCGGCGCTTTAGATATGCTTACTCAGCTTCACCGCTAAACGTGTAGTGTGTTTTATTTGCTACACGCAGGTAGGCAGAATGAATGATTGGCGTGTTCCTGACAGCGGATGGGGCGAGACAGTCGTGGTGGATTTATGAATAAAATAAATAATTGTACGTATTGTTATGAGACATGTTTAAAAATGGCTACCGCATTATTATTAAACACTCTGTATTTTCTACTGTTATGTATTAAATGTTATTTATGATAAATAAAGATGTTTAAAATGTTTTAAATTTTCACAATTTTCAAGTTAATACTTTAGTCCGAAAGAGGCTGCAGACCTAGACAGATTAGGTTGTTACACATAGCTTTTGTAAAAGGGAAGAAGAAGATAACTACAGTATTTAAGAGACATTGCATTTTAGAAGTATGTTTGGCCTCACATTTCTACTTCTCTCTTGCGTCAATTTAAAGTGAAGGGAGGATCATATCACACCATTAAAGCCCCCACTCTCAGTTGTCTTGTGGCTTTTGGCAACCTTCTTTCTTGCCTCAATTTAAAGTGAAGGGAGTAGCATACCACACCATTAAGGCCCCCACTCTGAGTTGTCCATTGGGTTTTGGTCAGGGCAAGATAATATTTTATCCATTCAATATTCATTCAATTAATAAAGAAAAAGTATATATATATATATATATATATATATATTCTTGGGCCCCACACACATTATCATATCTCATCAATTAATCTCATTCAATTTATATCTATCACATTGTCTTTAATAATTTATCTAATTTGTATCTTGAATTAAACTAAACTAGGTTTCGAATTAGATTGGATGAAATCCCTAGCACATCCAGATCCAAATTCAAGATGCCTAATTCTTTGTGAATGTGCCTGAGATTTATGATGCCTAATTCTTTATGAGTGTGTCTAAAATAGTCATATCACTACTAGTTTTGTAGATCTTTTGGTGTAGTATTTTAATATATAATTTTTATTTTTTAGTTCTATACTATTTTTTATATAAAACGATTTAAAAATAATTTCAGTCAAACATAATAAACCAAAATACGGGATATAAATTGGGAGACTGAGACTGTGAGAGTACTACATAAGTTTTGATAAGCATTTCTTGGATTTCAACTATTCATTTTTTGATATTTTATGTTTGTCTATTTAATATTCCCTCCGTCCTAAAATGTTCTTCACACTCACTTTTTACTCAGTCAAACTTTAATCACTTTCTTTACATATTTTCATTAGGTATTTGATAAAATAATATAATCTTGTCACCACTTGTTTTGTAGAACTTTTGATGTAGCTTTTAAATATATAAATTTTATTTTTTAATTTTATACCTATAATCAAATAAATTAAATTGAAAATAAAGTTGGTCAAACCTCGTAAAATGAACCGGGAAGAACATTATAGGACGAAGGAAGTAATATTCTTAATTTTTGGAAAACATATAAAAGAGTTTCGTTACATTATTAAATGTAAAATAAATACATATATTACCAAACAATCACTAATCACCCCAAAGGCCCAAACTGATATTTCAGGTAAATCCTGTCCCCAACTCAACCATGCTTACCCCCTAGACCAAAGTCCGAAGTACAGCACCAGCTTGTTAAAGAATTTGCTCTGCATTACCATCAATAATCAGCAAACTATTATGGGATTATGATGGAGAAGAAGGCAAAATCCATTTTCAGCAAAAGTTCGCCTTGATTCAGGAAGCCATTACCGCCCCAGAAGAATGGGAACTTTGCCACACCTCAATCCCCTCTGTATCTTCTCTTGTAACGAAAAGCCTGTCTCCGCCACCCTCAATCTTCTTGATTATCCCTCTTTCCGAATCCCCTGCTTTATCAACGTAGTTTCTCCTGTACATTCCCTCACAGAGAACTCCATTCTCGGCTTCTTCCATTCTTGACCATACCTCCAGTTCTCCCCCTCTCCCCACAAACACTTGTTTCCTGTAACAATGAATCAAGAAACCATTCCCGCCCCCATTTTCTGTACATCTCAGACTCGGGTTCTTCTCTTTCAGATAAACCCACGGGTCTTCGGTCAGTTTCCGGAGGTCTGCCGCGGCCAAGTCGCCGGACTTCGAGCACAGTTTGAACAGAGTTAGATCGTCTGGGTTGACACCCACGTCGGCGAATGGGTCGCCAAATCTGCTGCTGCGCCCCGAACCCGGTTCGTTGGTCTCCCAAACAACCTGCCCCGACCTCGGGTCCCATAACCGGACATATCCGGAATATCCGAACCCGCTGGCAGATATGGAACTTCCGACTAAAACACCGATCTCCGGTACGTATGTCATCTTTCCGATGACGGCCGTTTTGGCCGAGTTTCCAGGTTGTCTTCCCAGCTCCGAAGTTACTTTCATTGTGGACTTGTCGACCGCGAGGATGCAATTCTCTTTGTGGTTGACCTCAAAGGAAGCGTAAACAGAGTCAGCACAGTCGGCTATGGCGTTGACCCGACCCTTGTAAATTCTCGGGTCAGACGGGTCACTCCACTCAGTCGACCCGATCCGGCGCCCGTTCGCCAAGCTATAGAAATGAAGTCCTGAATCGAATTCCGACCCGATTGCAGCGATATCCGGGCGAACCATACGAATGGAGCTGATATAATCCAGATGCGTCCGTACAGTTCCCGAGTGACTCAAACTCCAATCGAAGATCGAGACCTGACCGCCGTGAGCAACCCAAACCGATCCATCGGAATCAATGGCGTTGAAGTCGGACACGATTCCGTCCGTGGAAGGTCTTATGGTGGTGAACAGGGAGGCATCAATGCCGCTAAGGGGGATCGGAGCCAGAGCCGATTGGAGTTGCATTTCGATGCCGTAATAGGCGGCCTCGTCAATGAGCTCCTGGTTGGAGAACCGTCTCGCGGTGGAGGGGAGGCGGTTGGTCCGGAGGAGGGAGAGAAGGGCGGAGAAGATTTCCGGGTCACGGTCGATGAAGACCGGGTCATGATAAGGCCGGTTGGATAAGGCAGATAAAAGAGAGTCCGGACCGCCGGACTCTAGCGTTGAGATAGTGGTCTCGAAGAGCTTACCGCCGACGTTGAGTTTGATCCGGCCACCGCCGGGCTGGGCATTTGGGGAATTTCGAGCGTCCATGAATCTTGAATTCTGGATAGATACTACGGAGTAAAAACTTTGCTTTTGGACATAAACGGATGAATTGAGCATTTAGAAGATTACTCGCAAGATTCCCGGCCAAATAGCTCCAAACTGCCTTGAGTGCAAACTTTTTTTTATAGATTTTTTCATCTAAAAAACTTTTTTTTAATTTTTTATTAAAAAATAGATGTTTATTTAAATACTAAAAAAATATTTAGTTTGCTTGTATGTAGGTTTATAGTGGACTTTAGATTCACCATAGAATATTTCTCCTCCAGTGCTCTCTGTGATTTGAAAAATTAGCATTGCTTTTTCTCTATTTTCAAATATTGCACCCGCATCCACTCTGAGCATTTTTTGATCATTTTCTAATGAACATGGGGCATATGTGCCTATTTTTGAAACCACCGGGGCACACATGCTCATTTTTTATTTCTCATTTATTACTTCTCTTTTTTTACTATTTCTTTTTTTTTCCTTTTTTAGCTTTTTTATTTCTTTGTTTTCCTTTACTAGAAAAGTTTTTTAAATTCCTATTAAATTTTGGAAAAATTATCTCAAATAATCCCACCTTTTTGCGCTCTTTCAAAAATAATCACACTTTTCACTGTCACCGAAAATAATCCCACCTTTTTGCATGTGTGTGAATTTTGGGTCACCGTTAAAAAACTAACGGCCACTTAACGGAAGTTTTTGAAAATGCCTGTTTTTTGCAAATAAATGAAAAGTGGGATTATTTTAGAAAAATTTACTTTTTACTTTTTTAGTTTTGAATTTAAAATTAATATTTTTAAAAATATAACAATACACTCTTGTTAGAGATTTGTCTAACGATTAACAAATTTTGTTAATTGTTTTGGGAAAAATATAGCATTGAATTATCAAAAATAATTCAGAGTATCGATCAAGAAAGAAATTACAATAAAAAAATGTAGTGATTTATAAAATATATGGGTTCCAATTCGGAGAAAAAAATATTGTGTCATTTTCACAACTTTTGAATTACTTTTTTGGGGAAAAATTTGTATTGAGTTATTAAAAAAATCACAAATTGGGTAGTTCCATTTTAGAAAGAAATTTTTATTGCAATATAAGATTATCAATAAATATTTCAGAATGTTCATGGAAAAATTGCAATACATCAGAAAATGTAGTGAGTTATAAAAATAAAAGTTTTATTTTTGAGAAAAAAATTGTTGTGTTATTTTCACAACTATTGTAATGTTGTTTCACAAAAAATATTTATATAGAACTATCAAAAAATATTCATAAGTTTTGTAGTGCCATTTTTTAAAGAAATAATAATAATGTAGTATCAAAAAGTAATTTGAAGTGCAGCTCAAGAAAAATACAGTAAATGCAACTTACAAAAAAATGTACTCCATCCGTTATCAAAAACACTTCCTCTTTCATTTTTTTCCCTTCCAACAAAACACTTCCATTTTCAATTAAAAAACCACTTTTACCCTTACTTTTTGATACCCTACCTATCACATCATATTTTATCTCTAATAATCTATCCATCACATCTTACTTTTACCTATCACATCAAAGGCAAAATTGGAAGTCAACTACAATTTAATACTTCTTTATTTTTACACAAAGTCAAAAGATGAACACTTTTTCCAAACGGAGTAGTTAGTTATGAAGTTAATAAATTAGCTCTATTGTGTAGAATAATTTATTTTCTAATTATTACCATATTATTGGTTATTGAAAAAAAAACAATTAGTTTAACTCTTAAAACATTTAAATTTGGTATTTTTTCCAAAAAAATAAAATAAAATTACATTTAAAGAAATTAAAAAACGAAAAAGGGAGAATTTACCTAAAATAATCCCACATTTCATTTATTTGCGAAAAACGGACATTTTTCAAAATTTCCGTTAAGTGACCGTTAGTTTTTTAACGGCGACCCAAAACTCGCACACATGCGAGGAGGTGGGATTATTTCTGGTGAGATTAAAAAGTAGGATTATTTTTGAAAGAGCACTAAAAGGTGAGATTATTTGAGATAATTTTTCCTTAAATTTTTTATAGTGGTTTTTAAAATAAAAAATTCTTTGTTCTTGAAATAAAAATTTAAAAAAATTAATATATACTCCATCTATCTCAAACTAAATATTTTAACTTTTTGTTTTCTAGAATAATATTTTTGGTAAGTGCATAAAGAAAATAAAATAAAAAATAAGAATAAAAAATTGAAACATCTAAAAAAGAGTCTTACACAAATAGGAACTTTCGGAATGTCTAAAAAAGTCCTTAAAATTGGAATGTTCAACATGGATATTCATCTTTGTTTTTTTATTTTATTTCTTATTTTATTCCTTATTTTTTGAAGTTATCAAAACAAGTTTTAAATTTTTTGTTTTAGAAAACAAAATATAAAAATTATTAATTTAAGACGTACAAATGTAGTATATGTTAATATTTTTCAAATAAAAATAATTTTAAATTTTAAGAACATTATAAAAACAATTTTAAAAAGAAATTTAAAAAACTTTGATTAATAAAAAAATAAAAAAGGGAAAAAATAAAAAATAAGAAATGAGCACTAATGCCCATATGGTTTGGAAAATAAGCACCAATGCTCGCACAATGATCAGAATGGGTATGGGTGCAACTTTTTGAATCACGGGATTTTAGAATTTAGTTTTTAAAACAAAAGGGTATTGGTCCCTATTTTTCAAACCACGAGAGATACTAGTGGTATTTTGCCCTAAATTCTCATTCCATAACGACTCTCTTTGAACGATCACGGATTCACGGATGACATTGTCTCACTCTCTTTGAACAATCACAAATGATATTGTCCCCGTTGAAATACTTACAGTGCTTCATTTCTAAAATTAATAGTTCATACCCTACTAACCCTCCCCCCTCACCACCAAGTACCGACCCCAACCGATCCCCCACCAACGTCAAATACGAGATGCAAATCCAGTTGACTTTGAAATTAATTTTTTTAAATCACAAAGTCAACTAAAAGAGTGTGGCCATAGAATCGGACTCAAGTTTTAGTTACCCTCAAATTTAGACTACATTTTATTTTTTTATTATTTCAAAAATGCTTGAACTTTAAAAATCTTTTACTAGCGATTTTTGGAGTCGGTTTTCAAGTGATCATCATTTTATTTAAACTATATTTGGTTCAAGAATTTTGAGAGGGAAAAGAAAAAAAATAGAAAATAATTTTTCATGTTGCTTAGAGAGGGGAAAGAAAATGATAAGCTAAAATAAGCAAACGAGGAAAACATGATTCCTCAGAATTTGGAGCGAAAACAAGAAATCATTTTCTTTCTAATTTCTTGAAACAAACATAGTGTTTGGTAATCTTTGGTACTAGAACTCATTAAAATTTTATATTACAACTCTAACATTTAAAATTCCACTATTTCAAATATTGTTTGGCTCAATTTTGAAACAAGCAAAGACAAAGAGACAATTTGATATGTATTGAATTGTTGTTTCGTAAGAGACGTTGACTTTTTTATTGTAAGTTCTAAATTTAAGAAAAGTCAAGGTTGGATTTGTAAATGACAAGGGTGTGTAGTTTTGTAATTGAGTCTATTTTGAATTAGAAAAATTTGATTCAATTTTAAATCCAAACACTTTAATATCCCAAACAAATAATTTAGATCAAATCTAAATCTAAATTTTCAAATTCAAGTTCCCAAATATATCTTTATGGTCAAATTAAATTTTATATATTTTAAACTTTTTTAATTGAAATCTCATTTCTTTTTCTATTTCTTCTTTCACCACTTGTTTTTCTTTCTCTTCATCAAAACATCCACACACCCCATTGGCCCACCCACCTTGTCCCTTCTTGTTTATCTTCCCCACACCCGACAGTCCGATCCCCTCACCTCTTTTCTTAGCCCCTCTCTCCCACTTGAGCTCATTTTTTTTGTTTGACTTTTTAAAGGAAACACTAAAGTAGGGTAAAATATAGAAAAAGAATCAAAACAAAACTCAATTCATACTAATCTGGTGACAGACCCAATTCAGCGCTACAAAATAAAACTCAATTCCTGTCTAAAGGTTCAAGTGGAGTGAGTAACTAGTAAGAGATCCTAGCTATTCATCCCTTCTTTCTTTAGGTTTAATGCAATAAACCCGAGATCCTAAATGGTTTACTTCAAGACCGGCCTCTTCACAACCAGAGAAAAACAGCAACTCGTCTTCTTTCCCAATTCTCCGCCTCCAGCTCATAAGGAACGCTGGTCGTGGCAAAGCAGACACCAAACCTGAGACCCAAAAACCCATCCGTGATTAGGACTCTCCATCAAAGCCACTCTCTGACTTCACAATTTGCGGAGTTTAAGAAAAATTTTAAAAAAATATAAAAAAAATGCTTGGTTAGAATTTGTTCAGAAGGGGATAGAAATATTGTGAGTCGCATATTCTTTTCCTCGAAAAGGGATGTGAGAAGTATGAGTTTAACTTTGGGACGTATCCAAAATGGAAAGTGAAATTTATTTAAGGACGGAGCGGGTATACTTCTAAAATATCACAAAACACTTGGTGAAAACAAAGAGGGGAAACACTACTATACCATGTTGTTGACAATCACGAGGTTCAGAATCAGCAACTTCCGGTGTGTAGGCTCTCAGCAGAAACGTTAGTGTTTTTATCAAATTTGGATACTGCTTAACATCTGAAGAGGGGCAGCGTAGAATAGAAAAAGAATAATTTCGCATGGTAAAACAACAACAATCCAATAAAATCCCAACTCTGTTGGTTTATTGGGGTCAAATGTACAGTCTTAACTTTACAAAAACATAGAGGTTCTTTTCGTTAGACCCTAGATGTATTGCGGCATTTATTGCCAACAACTTCAAAGAATGTAAGAAGTACTCTTTCCGTCCCAAAATGTTTGCCACATCACACAAAACGAAGCAAAATTTTAAGTTTTTTCAATTTGTTTTGAAATAAAAAATAAAATTTATATATTTAGAAACTACGTCAAAAATTCTTCAAAAGAAGAGATGACAGTAATATTTTATTTTGTCAAACAATCAATGAAAATGTACAAATAAACAAAAGTTTCCGCGATTTTAATTAGTAAACTGTGACATTCTTTTTTAAACGGAGGGAGTAAGA